ACCAAACTGTGCAGCTCTGCAACTGCATCCTGGCCCATCCTCACCCTTCTGCCCCCAACCCTCACCTCCTTGTACCCTCAATATGTTTTTCCCAATTAAAAAAAAAACAAAACCCTTTCTCCCAAAGTGCATCCTTTCATTATTAAGGGTATCTCAAATGTGCTTTTCTTTCCCCCACTTCTCACGAAAACACCAAGCCATATTCCAAAACAAACAAAAATCAAGTTTATTCAGCAGATATTTTAATTAAGAAATCCTATAAATCAGGACCACCACAATTTCAGACACTCCGGTGCGAAGTGTACATCAATAGCTACATCTGGAGGATGAACAAGCCATTGAAACTTTAAAAAAAAAAAAGTTTAGCTACCTTAAAAGTTTAGGGGTGGCACCTTTCTAAAGCGCCCTCAAGTTTCACAACGGTAAAGCCAGCGGTGTCTTTCCCGGAGAGTCACATTTTAAAAACATTTCAGTCACTCACAAAGAGCTGGCATGGCTCAGGCCTATGGCTCCACCCTTCAGGGCCAGGACGGAGCAGGAAAAATGCCCAGGGTCTCTCTTCCACTCTGCAGACGCTGAGAAGGGCAGATTTTTAAAGGCAGGCGAGGAGGACAGGAGAGCCACTCACAAGATTGTTTATGAGTGTTTCGGAGAAAGCTCGGTCATGGCCAAGTGAGGCCTCCCAGGAGGAGGAGTTCTGGTAAGCAAGCAAGGAGAGAGAAGAAAAAAAAATACCTCTCCCCGAACCAGTCCTTCTCGCCTGTATCCTCGGGAGACTCCTCAAGTGGTAGCAAAGAACAAGACTTCTTGGAGCAAGATGAAAAAGACACCCAGATGAGTTAGCTCTTCCAGGCACTCCCACTCACAGCAAACCATGACCTTGACTCACAGGTGGCAAAGTCAAGTCATTTTTTAAAAAGTCCACATTCTACTTCAACTTTCTCCACTTTCAAAAGTCTCCCTCCTCCACCTAACTGGCCTTCAGATCCCCAACCTCAATCAGCCATCAGGTGGGAGAAAGGGGATGATACTGGCCCACCCACCACCAAGCATTTACATTCTTCTCTCCCCTCCCGCCTGGAATTGATTCACCTGGCAATTGTAGCACCATTTCAAAGTTCCTCCACCGGAAAATAGAGAGCAAATGAATGCTCTGTGTCACTAGTTTTCAAGTATTGTTATAAAGCCCTCACGATTCCCGCCCCTCTAAACCCAATCCTGAAATAATCCGAGCACACGACGCCCCTCGGGGCTAAGACTGGTCTAAGAGGATGCAAATAGCTGCCATAGTTCTCCCAGTTTATCCCAGGCCCTTGGGTCCGTGGGAGTTTTCTCGCCGCACGGGCGCATCCAGACCCGTGAACGTCTCTAAAGTTCTCTCCTATGCGGCCCCGAGAAGCCCAGGTAGCGCCAGAGAGGGGGCTTAAGGTCCAGAGTGGCGGAGGGTAGGACGTCGGGTCTGCGCAGCGGCCTCCTTAACCTCCTCCAGAGGGCCCTGGTCAGTGCAAAGCGCCTGAGGGCTGCAAGGCGAAGGCATCGGGTCCGCTGAGCCCACCTCCAGACCCAGAGGTACCTGTTGGACCTGTGGCTGCAACAGGGAAGACCACGGCGACAGCTGGCTGTATTCTTCGCACGGCCTCTTTGATGAGGTTCCCGGAAAGCACAAGCTGTTGCAGGAGATCAGCGTCGCTGGCGCCTGCCCCAGCCTGGGGCCAGCGTCGCTGATGCAGGCGGCGGGAAGGGGCAGCGCCCCGGAGCCATCCTCGGCGGTACGGCCCAGGCAGCGCGCCGGAGTCGGCGGTGAGCTCCGCCACGCAGTAGGGAGCAGCCCGGACCCGTACGCGGCGGAGTTCCCCGAGGGTGCAGCGCAGGGAGCTCGGACTGGCGGCTTCGGTCGACGAGGGCAGCACAGGTGACAGAAACACAGGCTGGGCCCGGGGCCGGGCCTTGTCCGCCGGCACCGCGGGCAGGGGTCGCGGGGGCTGCAGCGGCGGCCCGGGCGGTGCGCACTGGGAGGCCGATCTGTCCTGGGACGCGTCCAGCTGCAGCGCCTTGCCGATCTGGGCCACCAACTGGTCCACTTCGCCCGAGCCGCCCAGCGTCACCGACTGCTCCAGCAAGAGGAAGCTGTCTTCTTCTTCCTCCCCCTCCGCTCTCTCTTCCTCCTCTCTCCGGCACCGCATGGCCCCCTGCCCGGGCACCCGGAGTGCTGTGAGTGTCGCCGCCGGCTTGGCTGCGCTCCGGAGATCGGTGGGCCGCGGCTGAGCCTGGTGCGATGCGAAGATAGAAGCCCGGGCCGGGGAGGAAGCACAAGCCGAAGGCACCCAGCTACTGGTTGGTAATACGCTACCGAAGCCGGAATCCTACCGGCTCCGCTTGATTTGTAAACAAAGGGTGACGTAAGTGGGCCGTACCACGGCGGCGGGGCGGGGAGGGTCGCGCGAGGAGGCGCCGGAGGACGGGACGTCCTGGGAAGCGCAGAGCAGTGACTCGAACCTTCTCGGCTCAGATCTCAAAATCTACGTGTGAGGAGATCCATATCGTGGGGACAGCGATCGTACTGCGGCGGCCGGATGGACTGCAGAAGCAGATGGGGACTCTGCGGCGGCCCGCGGTGGTTTCGCCCACTCACCGACACACCCACCCACACTCTTAGCCCTCCCCCGCCGCCGCATCCTCTCTCCCCACGTGTCGGCCCCGCTTGGGTTCGTCCGCTCCGCCCCCGGGTGGCGTCACACCCCCAGCCTGGGTGCGGACTGGGCCGCGCGGGAGGGTTCGGCTTCCGATTAGGCTTCGGAGAGGTGGGAACTGGGCGAGCCGGGGAAGGTCTTAGGGTGCTTTGTGAAACCTTCATGCTGGTTGATTTTTAGGTAGTGGTCGTAGAGCCTTCCCCCTCACTCCTTCCTCCAGGCTTGGAGCGGAGAGGATTCACCGCATGGCTAGACTTTGTTCATTGACATAATAATAAACCTTCAAACGTGAAAATAGAAACATGAACTGAATGAACCACACCATCATAAGACCCGAATCACTCGTATTTTTAAAATGTTTCCTTTCTTTTTGTATACAAAACAGTCACACAGCAATTTTACCTGCGTTTTCACTTCGTATTGCATCATAAACGTTTTTCATGTTATTGCACGTACTTTAAAAACATTTAATGATTGCATAAGTTTTCATTAAGTAGCTGGGCCATAAATTACTAAACTACTCCTTTAAAAGTTCGCTGTTGCCATTTTAAAGAAGTTTGTGACATGTTTTTGTGCAGAAAACTTCTTTTCATTTTAATGATGCTTTCCTTAGACCATAATTCTAGAATTGGAATTTTAGGTCAAAGAATATAAACATTTTTACGTTTCTGTTAAGCGAACCTAAATTGTTTTCTAAAAGAGTTGGGTAAATTTATTCTCCAATTAATATCCGAGCATATAGTTAGTACTTGAGTATGATGGTTTCCGTTTTGTTGATGATAGGTGAAATTGTTAGGTCTTTTCAGTCTTCATATGTTTTATTTTAGAGCAGTTTTCTCAATGTTTGCCAAGCAGCAGTACTTCCTTTTTTTGGTGAATTGTCTGTTCCTGTCATTCCTCTGCTGAGTTTTTCTTACTTGCCTGACACGTCTACATACCAGACTTTAACCTTTTCTTTAATATTTTGCTGCAAATATTTCTTTGGGTTTTCTTTCTTTTTTTTTTTTTTCTGCCCTGCACACTCTACTCTCATACTAAAACAAATCTTAATATAGTTAAATCTTAAACTCTTTCCTTTGAGACTTCTAAGCCATTGCTAAATTTAGAATCTCCTTGCCTCCAGAAAGTTATTAAAGATTCAGTTCTATTTTCCTTAGATTTTTCTAATGCTTTGATTCTTTCAAATCCAGCTAGGGGGTTCATTTTGGTCTTTGGTGCAAGGAACCGATATGAAAGTTGGTTGGTTTTTTTTTTTCCCCCAGAGTACTTGCCTGGCCGGAGCTGTATTGCATCAGGGCAGATATGTGGAGGTAGTATAAACATAAACTTTGTCCTAGTGAGTTCCCGGTTGCCAGTTAAGTTGATGATTATGAGCACTGGGTGGGGCTGAGAATATTTTGATCAGGCTCATAGCATGGAGTCAAAATTAAGAACCTTAACCAGGTTGTACAGAGACCAAGATTCAGGTCTTGTCTCAGTCCTGCTCTGGGTGTGTGACTCTCTTGCAAATCAGTTTACTAGTGTTTTCACTTGTAAAATGGAAAAAAAAATAATCTCTGCCCTGCCCTCCTCTGAGGATTGTTTTCAAGATCAAATGAGATAATGGGAACAGGCTTTGTCAGGCATTACACAAATGTAATGTGGGATTAGGTCCAATGGTTTACTCACGGAGACCTGGCTCACTTCCAGAGATTCCCCACGGAAACAGCTAATAGATGAAGGATAAAGGTTCCCCCTCTATCTAAACATATCCTGAAGGCATTACTTCCTTGGACTTGCTGGGGGTCCCTAGAATTTTACCCCACATCCACCCTGACTTGAGATTGTTTAGGGCCTTCCTGAAGTGACCCCAGAGGCTCTCAGGTCCCAAGGTGTGTCACCACAACTAGTTCCGCAGGTTTTGGTGACGAGTTCATTCCCAGAAGGCAGTCACCCTCCGTGTCCTAGGAGAGCCTCTCTGCCTCTCTCTCTCTCTCTCTCTCACACACACTCTTTTCCTTTTTGGATGAGGTTAAGAAACCTTTCCCCAAGAGAGAGGAAGTCTCATTTTCATTCTGATGATACTTACTGGAGAATTTCAAGGGGCATGAAAATTAGGGGAGAGTTTATGGATTTCAGCAGAGTTCAAATGGTAATTTCCCCCCCTCTCTCTGTAAGCTGATGCCTGCTTGTAAGTAGAGAAAAGCAGTTTTATGCTCCATTGACTTTAAACATTAATGGGGCTGGTGTGGCTATTATCTCTAACCCAGCATCCCTAGAAGTTGTTTTTGTCTTCTTGTCAGGGTAATTCCGATGGTGTTCTTAATACTGTAGGAACTAGAGCTCAGAAGTGGCATTCTTCTTACTTAAAAACAAAAAAAAAAAAAAAACAAAACAAAACAACACACACCAAAAACTCCAGAACCAAACCTCTTCCCTTTGTAATGTTACTTTTGTGTGAAGATTGTGATGTAAATCTGTTGGGAGGACTTCTTTTATATTAAACTCTTCATTGTATAGAGGTAGATGGATTCATGGAGACCAGTTCCATTTTCTGGGGCCACTTCTCTGGAGAGTTCTGCCAAGGGAGTACTGTGCTAGACCATTTGGAGGTGGAGAAATGCCCTGGATTAGAATTCAAAATATAAGATGCTGGTGAGGCTCAGATGCAATTAAAAGTAATGAGAGGGCATCAGAAAGGCAAGCCATGAGAGCTGTGTGCCTGGCACACTGGCTGCCTGCCTGCCTGTTTGAAAAGAGACATTTACAGAGCCGGTTCAGAATCACTCATGGACGGAAACTGAATCCAAGGGATTTCTGCATTAGTTCAGATTACCCAAAAATTCACCTCTAGGGGTTTGCTCTCCACATGGTCATGTTAAGCACTTGCCTGCTTGTTGAAAGATATTATTAGATGGTGTGGAGTTGATTATGACTCACACCCAGAGAGCAGCAGATCAGAAGCTTGCCCTCTCCTGTACCAGCCTCACAATCCCTGCTTTGTCAAGCCTGTGGTTGTAGTCACTGTGTCAATTGTACCATTAAGGGTCTTCTCTTGCTGACTGAAAAATGTTGTTGCTATGTACCGTTGAGTCAGAACTGACTCACAGCTGACCCTCCAGTGGGTTTTCAGAGGCAGTAAATTGCACAGGAGGAGACTGCCCATCTTTCTCCTGCAGAGCACCTGGAGGATTCAAACCATGTGCTTTTGGGCTGGCAGCACAACTCTTATCACTGAACCACCAGTGCTCCCTATGACTGAAAAGTGGGTAGTTCAGATCCATCCAGAGGTGCCTCAGAAAGGGATGTTCTACTTCTAAAAGGTTATACTACTATTACGACTACTCTTCCTAGCCACTGAGTTGGAACCCACTCCTAGATGACCCTCCAGTGGGTTTCTGAGACTCTAAATTAACACAGGAGGAGATTCCTTATCTTTCTCTCATGGAGCTACTGGTGGACTTTAACTTCCAGAAAGGTACTACCACCTTTGGCTCAAGCAGCACCAGTCTCTTATGTACTAAAACAACACAACTCGCAGAAGGTCAGGCTGTTTGAAAAGCCTGTGGCGCACAGTTATGCTCTGATACACATGAGTTCTCTGTGTTGGAATAGACTCGCCAGAGGAAGGTCCAGATTCCCTACAAAGCCCAGAAGCAACACTACTAGCCAAGTGTATAGCAACTATGCTTTATTTAACATGTGTGCTTTTGTGAAAGCGGGCTGAGACCCAAGTGGCATCAGCCCTGAACAAAGATAAGAGGAGAGTATGTAAAAAACAAGGCCCCAGGAATTGATGGGATTAAAAAAAAAAGAGGAGGGCATGTATCCATTCTACATTGGCCAGTTGGGGATAGTCACAGCAGTTTGAAGAATCTGGGTCCATTTTTCATCATTTTAGCATTTCCTGTTTTATCTCTTGGGGTGGGTCATAAAATTGTGTTTAGAGATAAACATTAATCAGATTATTACTATTTCTTGGAAAACAAGGACATATTTGAATAGGGTCAGAAGGTCAGCAAAATGAAATGACTTTGGTTTCAACCGTATACCCAGCATCCAGTTAGCTAGTTCATAGAGATAGGAGCTGTGGTGACATGCGATGAACAGTGGGCTTGGAATTCCATGTGGGTTGGGTTACTTCATCCTTCTGTGTCTCAGGTTTCTCATCTGACAAATGGGGAGAAGATCCTTTCATTATAAAATTGTATTAGTGGAGATTATGCCTGGAAAGGCTTACCACATGAACACTGAGAACAATGTTGGAGTTAGGTTCTCTTCTCAATGCATTGCTAGCAAGTCAAAGCCAACTCATAACTGACCTTCAGGAGATTGCTCCTCTTTCTCCCAACAAGCAATTGGTAGGTTTGAATCACTCACCTTTGGATTGGCAATGTAACTCCCTACCCCCTAGACCACTGGAGTACCCTAGAAATAGTTCTGTTGTTGTTGTTGTTATGTGCCATCAAAATGCTTGCAACTCATAGCAATCCTACATACAACAGCCCTGAACC